ATGATTGGCTTTTCGCAAATGTTACAATGAATATTATATGTGTAAGGTTAGAAAGTTATGGTGTATTAATTCTCTTAAGTAGTGTGTTAAATATAGTTTTAGGTTCTAACATAATGTTAAAATAGAGACTATATATGTGGGGGGAGGTTTTTTTTTTAGGAATGAGATAATCACTTCAAGGAACACCTAAATCTTCCAAAGAAAAAGAATTTACAGTTTTCTTGTCAGAAGAAGCTAATTTCTTCAGGCCTTGCTCAGACTCGAAGACACCTTGGGGACTAAAAGAAACAGTTAACATACAACAGAGAGAGTTCTTGTTTTAAATAGAATGTATGCACAACCATGAAGGATATATAAATATGTAACAAGCTATTGCTTTTAAGGTTATTTGTTCACAAAGTGTGCTTTTCGTGACTTAGTGTCTGAGAGCATCCGGACGTCCGTAATTCTATGCTTTTTATTGTCCTGCAATTGTCCTAACTCTGAACTTCATTACTCCAATTGTATTACTATTTTTATAACCATTTTATTATTATTAAACTTTTATCATTTTAAAAACCAAGTGACTGGCGTTTTCCACTTCGGGAAGAACTGCTTCGCAAAAAGGGTGCTCAGATTGGAATGGGCTGCCCGGGGAGGTGCTGGAGTCACGGCCCCTGAAGCTCTGTAAGGAAAGACTGACACCTCCGTGCCGTGGTTTGCTTGACGCGGTGGTGTTCGGGCACAGGTCGGACTCCAGGCTCCGCCAAGCCTTTCCCAAGCCGATCGATTCCGTCATTCCGTCATTCCGTCATTCCGTCATTCCGTGCCTGCGCCTCCCTCACCGCCCCTCAGGGGTTCCCGCCCTCACCGCCCTCAGGAGTTCCCGCCCTCAGGAGTTCCCGCCCTCACCGCCCTCAGGAGTTCCCGCCCTCAGGGGTTCCCGCCCCTCAGGGGTTCCCGCCCTCCCGGGTTCCCGCCCCTCAGGGGTTCCCGCCCTCCCGGGTTCCCGCCCCTCAGGGGTTCCCGCCCTCCCCGCCGCCGCTCGACATGGCCGCCGCGCTGGGCCGGCTGCTCCGCGCCGCGGTGAGTGCGGCACAGCCCGCGGGTCTGCCCGCCCGCCCGGCCCGCCCTGACCCTCCCTGTCCCCGCAGGTGCCCGTGGCTGCCGCCGCCGGGAGGAGAGGGACGGCACGGCCCCCGGCCTGCGCCCGCCGGCCCTTCAGCCTCGGTAAGTGCGGGAGCGCGGGCGGGGAAGGCGCCCCGGGAGCGCCCCGGGCCCGGCCCGCAGCTCCGCGTTCTCCCCTCCGCAGGCTCCTGGCGGTTCGCCGCGGCCGTGACCCAGCACGCCCCGGCCTTCAAGGGCACGGCCGTCGTTAACGGAGAGTTCAAGGAGCTGAGCCTGGATGATTTCAAGGGGAAATACCTGGTTCTCTTCTTCTACCCCCTGGACTTGTGAGTGCGGTTTCTCCCCTTCCCCATGGGCCTTCTGTCCTGCTGAAGGTCATCAAAACGCTGCCGGTCGTTGGGGTTTTGTTCGATTTGAGGCAGTCTTGCAGGGCAGATGTGCCTGTTTCTAGAGTGTGAGTGGTAAGATTGGGGGCACATGGGCATTGTGTATTAAAGCAGTGGACAGGGTGACTGCAGAGCATCTTCTGGCTGCAGGGCCTGCATTAGGAGGTGGCTGTGGTTCCTGTTGCAGTCAGTCCCAGGGGTGAGGGCATTGCCCTGCAATTTGGGACTGCCTTGGAAGCTCTGTCCTTGAAGAAGCAAGGCCAGCAGAACTGCAGCTACACAGCTTCAGGGCAAAACATTTTAAGATGGGGGTCAGTCTGCTCAGAAGACTTGAATTTCCAAAAGTATCTTGGTGCATGTGGGCACATGGAGAAGGGTTTAACCTTCATACCTTTCTAAACTTTCTAACCTTCATACCTTCCAAAAACTGTCCAGAGAGTCTCTAGCAGAGACGGTTTCTCCATCCTTGTTAAGGAATCTGTCTAGAACTCAGAGATGGTAACTGGTATACCAGCTGTGTGGCTGTGACTGTTGGTTTGAGACTGAAATTAACCTTGAGCAGGAAACATGGCTAAAATTATCAGTGGAAAGAAAATGTTCTGCTTCATTAGTGCCTAGAAATGGACATGAGAGTCTTCTCTAGAGAAGATGACAGAATAATTACAGCCTGATCTGCCCTCCCACCAGCACCTTTGTCTGCCCCACGGAAATTGTGGCTTTCAGCAACAAAGCAAAAGAATTTCGTGATGTGAACTGTGAAGTGGTGGCAGTTTCGGTGGACTCACATTTTACTCATCTGGCCTGGATAAACACACCACGAAAGGTAGGAATTGAGTGTCTTTTTGGGGCCTTCTGTGTTGGTTTGGTTTCTTTTCACAGGACCTCCAGAGAAGATTAGTTGAATAAATAATTGTGACAACGTTTATTTTTAGTAGATTTCCTAAAGTGGTATGCAGTATGCAGTCGACTCTACATTTGATCAAATAATTCTGACCTCTGTCTTTTGTTTTCTTTTTCATAATTATCTGGCTTGGGTTTTTAACTTGTTTTGCTGTAATGATAGCCTTGTTGGTAACATTGTATCCTTGTACATTTATCTCAAAAGACAACTGCTCGATTTACATGTTACTGTCCCAAAGTGGCTGTGACAGCTGATAATGCACAAAAACTACCACAGAAGAGGAGCAGCAGCTGTTCAGTCATTACTGTTAACAATTACCCAATAATGGTGGCTTCAGGTTGGAAGCAGAGGAACCACCAGTTTATTGGAACACTTGTATCATTAATTCTCACTTGCTGAAAGGGTCCCCCTCTTGCAGTACAAATGGAGGTTTTTGGCTTTATTTAGGGAAAGAAAGTGATAAAGACAGCCTTTTACTGGAGAAGAGCCTCTTTCAGCTACATATAAAAATATCTGCTTTTGGTGGCATAAAACATCTCCCTGGTTTAGGTGACTGTAGAGAAGCACAAGTGTCCCAGGAAGGTGCAGAAGCACTTGTGCCATCAGTGCCAGCCTGTGTGGACAGCAGTGTGCAGTAATGCTGCCTTCTGGCACCACTGGAACATGCAGGGGAGGAATGAGTTTGCTGCATTTAATGCACCTTGGCTGAGCCTGTCAAGAGTATTTCTTTTCTGCATGCTTTGTTCAAAGCTCAGCAATGTGACTGCGGCCTGACTTCCCAGCTTTATCCCAAAGGTGTTCAGGGTATGTCAGACGTGCACAATATTTTACAGATACACAGACGAGTTGGAAAGGACCCACAAGGATCATGGAGCCCGACTCAAAACAGGTGCCTCCATGGTGGCACAGGCAGGAAACTGACACCCAGAGAAGCAGAAGCCTTGGTTTGTCTGACACCTGTGCTCAAAGCTCTGTGTAGGGAACTCTGTTGCAGACAGGTGTTTGCAGGATCAGGGTCTGAGTGGCTGAGATTACACAGTGATTCACTGATGATGCCAAGAATAGTAAAGCTAACAAACTCCAGCCTTGTTTCAAGGTTAGAGAGTTTATCTCTCTTGCAGTCTCAGTCTGTGGCAAAACTGAAAGAAATCTTGTTTGACTCGTCAAATAGTATTTAAATTGATTTGTGAGAGGCAAAACAAAAAAATATGTACACTGAACAGAGCAGCAGAACTCTGACATACTTAGTGTGTTGGTAAGAGCATTGTGTTTGGAATCATTGAATTGTTAGGTTGGAAAAGACCTCTAGGATCATGAAGTCTCATGATGATGATGAGATGATGAACTCACCACCACCATATCGCCATGTTCACCACTAACCAGGTCCTCAAGTGCCACATCCATATGTTTTTTTTCCATCCTCTGGGAAGCCTGTTCCAATGCCTGGCAATCCTTTATGTGAAGAAATTTTTGATAATATTTGATATAAACCTCCCCTGGTGCGATTTGATATCATTTCCTTTTGTCCTGTCCCTTGTTACTTGAGAGAAGACGCTTACCCCCACCTAGCTACACCCACTTTTAAGTAGTTAGAGAGTGACAAGATCACCCCTGAACCTCCTTTTCTCCAGGCTAAATATCCTCAGCTCCCTCAACTGTTCCCCATCAGATGTGTGCTCCAAAGTTTTTTTGTTCACAAGTTTGTTTCTCTTCCTTCTCCCCCATGTTCATCCTATTTAATTCTGAACACTTAAATATGCAGTAGAAATTTTTCTATTCAAAGCTCCTGGATAGGATACAAAGGAAGTTTTTCTGGAAATGTATGGCTGTTGCCATTGGTAGCCTCTTACCACTGAAATCAGCAATTCCAAAATGCTCAGTGCAAAAGAAATTTCATTTTCTAAAGAAACAAACTGTTCCTGACTACTTTAAAACAAACAAACAAAGCAAACCCAAACTACACCAGACACAGCTGGTTCCTTTCGTGGAGCAGATGCCTTGGTTCTGTTTTGTTGTTACAGTGCCCTCGAGAACATGGAATCCAGCAGCTCAGGAAGGATGATCCTATGGAGCATTTTGTAACCAAGTGGAATCTTTCTCTGTTCTCTAGAGCGGCGGTCTGGGCAAAATGAATATTCCAGTTCTGTCAGACCTCACGAAACAGATCTCCCGTGATTATGGGGTGCTGCTAGATGGACCTGGCATAGCACTGAGGTAAGGCTTGACTGCTGTGCTGTGACACAGCCCAGTCTAACCAACATAAGGCACACTGTTCCCTCCTGTGGGGAAGTGGCATCAAGTGAAGACTCTAGATGTCTTCTGCTGCAGGATGGCTGGATCCATGGAAAAGGGCACCTGGTCATTTTGGCCATGAAGCTGAGAATGGCTCCAGGCCTCTCTGAAAATGTGTGAGGGGAAAGCTCTTCTGCTCTGAGAGAGGGGGAGAACTCCATGTCCCTAAGGAAAAGGAGCAGCATAGAAGGGCAGTTTCTGATAATTTTTTCCATAGTAGTCCCTGAGAAACAGTGGATTGGGTAGGAATCTTCTGGAGACCTTCAGTTCTTGATCTCTTTGGATCAGGAACTTTTGGCATTTGTTTACTGAGAGATGAAGTTAATTAGTATGGTAAGATTGAGACTTTGATTTTCACAAATACTTTTATGCAACGGGATTTAATTCAGTAGCATAATGCACAAGCAGCTCTTCAAATTTGACCAGAAAGACATGGCAGGATGCCATCTTTCAGTTTGGAAGTACAGGTGAAACACTGAGTTCTCCCTTTGCTCTCTCTGCCTGGATTGAATAGTTTCCATACATATTTTGTAATTTCACAGTACCACAGCAGTGGATCACTTTGCTAACAAACAAGATACCAAAAGTTGCAGTTCCCTCCTAACTGACGCTTGTCACTAGGAGTAACTACCTTGCTGAAATTATGCACCCAGTTCCTTGTGTTTGGCCTTGGAAATTGATTTACCTTCCCTGATCTGCTGCTGCATTGCAGAGGTCTGTTCATCATTGACCCGAACGGGGTCATCAAGCACCTGAGCGTCAACGACCTGCCCGTGGGGCGCAGCGTGGACGAGACGCTGCGCCTGGTCAAGGCCTTCCAGTTCGTGGAGACACACGGAGAGGTGTGCCCGGCCAATTGGACTCCAAACTCCCCAACGGTGAGTGCTGCTCAGAGCTGAGTGTGGTCCTGCTGAAAATAGCCCCTGGCCTGGTTGTGCTTGCCTGGAGGGCTGGGATTCACTCGCTGTGAGGTGCTTCCCTGGGTCTGTGCCCGTTGTCTGGGCCAGTTCAGTCTGTTTGTCTGATTGTAAGTGTGGGATGCCTGTGAAGAAAGTTACTGGTTTCCTTTTAGGAGATGCAAATTGTGTTCAAAATTCCAAATTTGACTTGGACTCTCCATTAACTGAGTTCAGATTTTTTACTTACTTAATGCATTGTAATTTAATAGGAAAAATCTGGTTTATACTTAATATTTTCAAGTACGAGTTGCACATGATCTAGGCTTTTGTCTTTCAACCAAGTGCAGAAACAGATTACTATTTTTATAAAGTATGCCTGGATTTGCTTGGATTAAGTGTCAAATCTGTATTTTTTTATCATACCTGTTCCAAGTAATAACTTAACTTTTTTTTCTTGACAGATCAAACCAAGCCCAGAAGGTTCCAAAGAATATTTTGAAAAAGTGAATAAATAAACAATCAAATATATTTGAGTGAATGTCACCACTGAAGACATTAGGAAAACAGCCGTAATTGTAAAAATTAATAATAAAAGCTCTCATTTTCTCATGTTTAAGAAATTAAATGCTGAAATAGTTACTGATTCCCTTGTCTTTCTTTAAAAAGGGTAAAACTAAGGCTTTACCTCTGCCTTCTGCAACTTCAGTTTCATGAATTTCTGTGGCCGTTAATCATCTTCCTGAATGTGATGAGTGCACAAGTTAGTTTCCTTCCACTGGCTTTTCCCTTTAACTAGTTTTGGACCAGAAGAATGTGCTGCATTTTGTTTTCTCACAGAACGTAAAAGTCTGTCAAAAAAGAAATTTGAAACAAGGATAGAATTTTGATACATGGCTTCTTTTTAATGAATTTTGCAGAGGAAGACATGAATGTAACAAGTATCAATAATTTAAAACTCGTGTGTAAATGCACTAAAACATGGAATGAATGTAAATATGTGCCATTAAAAAAAAGAAGTGCAGCTACTCAGGAGCACTAACAAGCATGAATTTTAATTTTGTTTGGGAGATGGTAAAACCTTGAACCTTCACAGTGCACTTTTTGGAGCTTAATGACAAGTTTTCCTTCACTTGAATTTGGTTGGCTCTTGTACTGCTTGAAGCTGATGTAGCATCTCTCTAGCTGTAATAAAATAATCTGAACGTGGCCTAGCAGCAGGTGTGGTGCTTTGCTTTTCTTTCCCTTTCTCCCAAGCCCTGTTTCTCTGTCTGGAAGGACCTGGCTGTGTTCAGTGCCTCAGCAGCTCTGTCCTGCACCTTTGTTCCCAGCAGTTCACAGCTGCAGTGGGGAGCAGCCCGTGGACACAAAGTCCTGGGGGGCTGCACAGATCAATGCAGCATCCTGTGTGTTTCTGTTTGTGAAAAACGCCAATCACTTGGTTTTTAAAATTTTAGAAGTTTAATAATAATAAAATGGTTATAAAAACGAATACAATTAGAGTAATAAAATTTAGAGTTAGGACAATTACAAGACTATAAAAAGCAAAGAATTAGGGATGTCTGGATGCTGTCTTGTGAACAAAGGAATAACCTTAAAAAGAATAGCCTGTTGCATATTCATATATCCTTCATGGTTATGGATACATTCTATTTGAAAGAAGAACTCTGTTGTATGTCAACTGTTTTTTTAATCCCCATCGTATCTTCGAGTGAGCAAAGCCTGAAGGAAATAGCTTCTTCTGATAGAAAACAGTTAATTCCTCTTCTCTAGAGGACTTAGGTATTCCCCGAGGCAAGTATCTCATTCCTTAACAAAAAACCCTTCACACAGCATAGTTTCTATTTTAACATGTTGGAACCTGAAACTGTATTTCACACGTTACTTAAGAGAGTTAATACAGCATAACTTTCTAACATTACACATATAATATTCATTGTAAAATTAATAAAATATGCATTTTTCACATTGTTTATCTCTTCTGTCCCGCTGAGGTGTCTGAGTCCTGAGTTAGCTTTATAATGGGGATCAATGCTGCAATGTAACAAAGGATGAAAAAATGAGACTGAAGCGGTGCCGGTGCTGATACTCCGGCTTCCACTTTCAGATCCTTTCAGCGCGGTGTTTGGTTTGTTTTGTGACACGTAACCGCGTGTTTTTCCCAGTTAACCCGCTATTTGCCGCACCAAAGCGGCCGGACCGTGCCCGACCTTGCCGCGGCCCGGCCTCCTCCTGCCGCCGCCATCCCGCGGAGGGCGCGGCGGCTTCTGCTCGGCCCGGCTCCTGCCGCTGCCTTGCGGGGAAGCCACGGGAAGGGCAGAGCCCGCGGGGCCTTGCCTTGCGGGGAAGCCACGGGCAGAGCCCGCGGGGCCTTGCCTTGCGGGGGAAGCCACGGGAAGGGCAGAGCCCGCGGGGCCTTGCCTTGCGGGGAAGCCGCCGGCAGAGCCCGTGGGTCCCGCCCCAGCTGCGGGTGGAGCGGGCGGCCCGGCGGGCCCGGCCGCGCTTGCGGCCCGCGGCCCCATGGACGCCAACCTGCGCTTCTGGAGGGCCGAGGGGCAGGTGGGCACTGCTTAGGGACGGCTCGGGGCGTGCTTAGGGAAGGGCCGGAATAAATAACGCCTCCAACATGTCTCCCTCAGTCTTTCTTCCGGAGGTTTCTCGTGTGGGCGGACGCCTTGGATCCGCTGCTGCTGCTCAAGTCCTCCGTGAGTAGCGGGGAGGGTCGGGATGAGCGAGCGGCCGCGGGCGCGGCCGTGCCGGGCTGTGAAACGCGGCCGCTGCTGCAAAGGGAACTCGTGAGGGATGTGGCGCTGCGGTAGTGTTCCATGGCCTAAAGGCTGCCAGGGAGAAGGCACGGAGCGAGGGAAAGGCTTTAAACTGCCAGAGAGGAGGTTTCGATTGCGTGGTTCAGGAGATTCCTCCCTGTGAGGGGGGAGGCCCTGGTGCACAGAGGAGCTGTGGCTGCCCCTGGATCCTGCAATGCCCGAGGCTGGACAGGGCTTGGGTTGAAGGTTTCCCTGCCGTGACACCGGGTGGGATTTAAGGTCCCTTCCAACCCAAAGCATCCCACAGTTCTACCGTAAACAGAAACACACGTGTATGCACTTCTAGATCTGATCGCATAAACCAAGGGATATTTCCAGGCACAGCCATCTCAGCAGCCCTGCCCCAACCGTGGCTGCTGTGCCTGCACTTGAATTATCCCAATAGTTTAAAAATTCCTGTGATTGTGAATTCATTGTGTCTAGGAGTCTTCTTGCTTTCACTGCAAGGAACAGATGCATCATTAGCTTCTAGGTTTGTATTTGTGGTGTATATTGCACTTAAAATATTGAAATCTGAGAAGTTTTTGGGTTTTTTTTGGTTTTTTTTCTCTCTCAAATACAGAATGAAATAAAAAGAACCAGGTTATTAATACAAATCAATGAGAAGATGCCAAGTGAGCCCATACAGAATAATCAGGTATTTTGGACTGCAGTTAAAGTCTTAACATAAGTGTTTAGCCATATTTAATTGTTGTTTTATGGTTTAAAATACCTACTAGTTTTAACTTTTTTGAATTAACCTGTTCTGCCTGAGTATGTGATTTGGTGCTGTTACAGAGCTCGTGGGATGTGAATGCTTTATATTAAACAGGGAGTATATGGAGAGAAATTTTAGGGGAAGAATATAATTAAAGGTATATATAAATATATACATTTTGTAGAAAAGGAAGTGATTAGAAAAAGACATAGAATAAATTTAGAAAGAAGATTTTACCTAGCCTCTTCTGAAATTTAATTACTAACCTAATTTTCCAACTGTTGTAGACCAAACAAGCCTTCTTGCTAAGCCTGGTAAGTTTACGAAATATTTAGATGATTTTTTTTTTTTCCTTATTCAAGTATGGTAAAGATGTTCTAATTTGCTTTTTTTTTTTTTTTCTTTTTAAGTCCAGCGTACATCCTGACACAGACAAGATAATTCCTGTTTTGTTTAGACCTCCAGGTAGGTTCCCTTAAGTGAAATTTGTGTGTGACTGAAGCATTGGGGGGGGATAGCTCATGGTGAACAGCTGCTGAGATACCACAGTGACACTCTTCTCCACACAGAAAAGCAAGCAGACTCTTTTGTTAGTTGCATTGATATATGTGTTGAAGATTTATTTATTTATTCCTATGGTCCTGCTGAGGAACTTCTCCCTGGGATAATCTGCTCATCTAGATGGAAAAACTCTGATTAGTCTCTACTTGTTGCTGCAGAATGAGTTTCCAAATCCCTCCACATTTAACTGTCTGCTGTAATTTAAGTTTTTCCCTTGATGGCTGTGGCTGCTGGATGAATATGCATTCTGGTGACAGATCAGGTGTGCCTGGGGTTTGTTTAGGCAGCACAGGCTGTTAATCAGAGATAACCACACTGAGGCTATCTCCTGTGACCACTCACAACTGTGGCAGCTTTTGTTATACCTCTCTTTTTGAACAGAGAGCTGAACTTGTGTTCAGTTATTACATTTCCAGGCAGCCCTGGGGAGAGGAGTTCACGAGGGTTTCTTTTGGCTGTGAAATCTGAGCAGGGATTGTGGCTTCTCAAGCCAGGAGTGAGAGATAAAGCTTAGGGATGAAGTTAATGGTGGTGCTGGGGTTTGTGGGCAGTGTTTCACTTGGAGATGGAAATAGACAGGGGAGGTTTAGGGGGATTTTCTGCTCACAGATGTTATTTTTACTGAAATCAAGTTTTCTTTCTTTTTAGCTTTCATGCCCATAACTCTTCCCTTGGTGAGTAATCATGACAGATGCCAGTGTGCATCCAGCAAGGCTTCCATTTTGCATAGCCAGGAGTTGGAGTGAGGGAATGGAAGTTTTGGGGCTTTATTGTAGCTTCAGCACAAGCTGTTGGAAAGACATCTGTTTTATGGGAAGTGCTGAGTAACTTGAAAATCAAGCCCTTAAAGAATCTCCCTGGAAGTCCAAAACTGTTAGTTACCCTTCTCCAGCAGCATTCCAAGAGATTGTTCATGTGTGAAGGACAATTTTCTGATGCAATGTGAGATCACTCAGCAATGAGAGCAAGGCCTGGGTTTGGTCTGTTCAGCCTGAAAAATCTGGAATTGCAGTGGGAAGAGGTTGGAGTCTTGTGTTCTGTGTCTCACACCCAGAATATGATTTTTTTCCTATGTAGGTGGTGCATTTACAAGTAGGAAAGGATGTTGTCACTAAATTACCAAAGATATAAAAATAAACTTGTTACTGTGCTCAAAAATGGCACCATTTTGTTTCATAAATTTGTAGCTGTAATCATGTTCTTATTTATTAATTTAGATTATTTGGGTTTGGGCTTGGCCTGTGAATGTACATCCTGAGGTATGTCATTCCATACAGACATTATAGCCTGAACTTACATGGCACTGCTAGAAAGTACAGTGAAAGTCTTGATAGATGTTAGATTCATTAATAGCAGTAATAAAATTAATAGAAATACTTCTTTTTGGTATTTACAGTGTAATGCATTCTCCTAGATGTGGTTACAGTCAGTGCTGGCATTAATAATAAATGGTTGATTCAGTAATATTAAATGAATTACTGATCCTTCTCTGAGGCTTTGGAAATTCTCAGCCTTTCTCTTATTCCATATTTTGTATTCTTATCTTGATTGACTCTGTTTTTTGAAAGTTTTCCACACCTTGAGCTTTAAACTTCAAGAAAGGTTGTGGTTTATTAAAGCTGAAGTTCTTATTCACTGTCTGAATTTGAGAAGAAGCTGGGAATTAACTCCTAAAACCTTTGATCTTAGATCAGTTAGATCTAAGTTAGTATTAATATCCCCAGCAAAACCAGTCTGATCCTTTCTCAAGCATTTCTTTAATTAGACTTTTGTTACCTTAGTTATTTTATTTGCATCTATTTGTTTCACAGGCACAAATGCATTTCTCTTTTGGGTAAGAAAGCACCTTTCTGCAATATTCTTGGACGCAATGTTTTACCGCTATGTGTCTGTTTTATACATGTCTGTGTGCTTTCTATTGAACAGGAAAATGAGCATGCCACCTCTAATGAGAATGTGGCAGCCTGGAACCAAGGCTGATGGCCTTGGGCACTGGCTGGAGCCTTTGACACTGCTGCCAGTGGTACCTCAGCAGTTCTGGTGCTCCTGCACCAAAAACCTCTGCACTCTTCAGACCTCATTTCCTTGTGCATTTTTCCTCTTAGGTCATCGTTTCATCTGTTCAGCGCCATGC